GGCAGGCGTGCGGCGCGTAAGGCAGCAATAAACGAGGCCGCCGATAGCGGGGCCCCAGGCGCCTGGAAAAAACCCGGCCTCAGCAATTTGCCTCCACGGAATACCGGCCCGCGGGGTGGCTGGCCACCGCCCCGAGATCAAACCGGAGGCACACCGGCAAGAACGAAGCCCAGTCCGTTGCCCAGAGATAAATTAAAGGAGTCGCTACGCCGCCGAGGGACCGTTGCGCGCCCCCAAGGATCCCCTTGCGACGATCCTGCCTTGAGATATCGCGCGAGCTTGCAAGCTCGCTCCCGATTGGTCGGCGCGCCTCTAAAGGAGGGGGTGCCACATCGATTCCGCAATCGAGCGGATTTAGCGAGACACTCTCTGGACCTCTATTCTGTAACTCTAACGACAGTGTCGGTATCGTTATGTCGTTGTTGCGCAGCTTTTTTTCCATATAGTATACCTGCGCAACGACAACGTAACGATACCGACCTGTCGTTACGAGTTACAGAATAGGGGTCCTGGTCTCTGGTCGTCCGTCGGCGAGTCCGAACGCGTAAAGTAAGATCCGCGATAGCCGGCCGAATCTGGAATTAGTCTTGAGTACCACGATTGTTGGCACGAGCAGGAGCTCCAGGAGAAGGCGTTACACCGGTGAGGTTGCCCGCAGGTAGTACCGAAATGTAAAGCCACGACGCCGCCCTCCGGTGCGCGCTTGAGAAAACGCTTGTAATACCGCGACGCGTACGGTTCCTTGAGACCGAGTGTAAAATTGCGATCGACAGCGAGAGCGAAGGGCCTCGGGATGGTATCGTGGCCGCGGAATCGTGATAAGGACGTGATAGCGAGCCTCTGGAGATCAAGGTAGGCGCGTTAACCATGACTTCGAGATCGCAAATACGCCATTTCTCGCGACCTTCCCCTGGTAACCATTCCTTTGCAATTCTGCTGTAAACTGCACGAAAAGTCGTGCACTAACTTTCGGGCAGATCATGCGTTTTCTATTTCCAACTATGACTATTTTTCTGTTGACAGAAACTTGCTCTCGTCGTAGTGCAACAGAATTGTGGAAGATATGTGTATGCATTTACATATAGCAGAATAGTGCAAGAAATGCGGCAGATGCTTGTGCAAATCGCAGTGCAACATAATCGCGCCAGATTTGTAGCAGCGTCTACTGCTACCCATACAGCACAAAATATTTTTAAAATATTTTTTAGAAAGATTAAAATAATTTACAAAAATATTTTTTATATTTATAGCACCGCAGTGGTGTTGGGTAAGTCTTGCGTTGTATTGCTGGCGAAGATTGTCGCGAATGTCATGATTTTGCTTCGCGCTTCGCCGGAGGCCTGCTTATATTAGATCCCAACTCAAATTTACTTGCAAGTTAGTTTTACCATTACGCGCCGCCTAGCGGCATCGTTGCAAACTAGCACATACAGCAAAATTCAACAAGAATTACGGCAGATGCTTGCGTAAAGAAGTAGAGCAGCAGAAATACAAATAATTTTGGCAGAAATAAACAAAACAAGGCAAATGAGAGCTCGTTCGCGACGATGGACGGGCGACAGTAATAAAATATTACAAATTGAATAAAATATATATAATAAAGTAAACGTTTTGGTCCTTGGTTTAGACCCTCCTCAGTACATATAGCTGGTCGAGTTAAATGCAGTGGTCACAAGTAGTCAAAAATGCAGTTTTTCCGCTCTCCGATTATGAGAGTGTGGATCTCGTATCCTCAACGTGACTACTGTTACCTTAATTCCATAAAAAGAAATAAATTAAACAAATATATATAGTCATACCTTAAAAAATGATCACAAGAGTTACCTGACAGTCAAATTGATAAGATATACGACACCATCTCTCCGCGTAATACAATAAGTATTACGCGGCATTTTTGACTACTTGTGACCACTGCATTTCACTCGACCAGCTATATGTACTGAGGAGGGTCCAAATCAAGGACCGAAACGTTTACTTTATTATATATATTTTATTCAATTTGTAATATTTTATTACTGTCGCCCGTCTATCGTCGCGAACGAGCTTTCATTTGCCTTGTTTTTTTTTTATTTATCGTTATTGAGAGCGTTATCTTTGTTATTTTGGCAGAATATACCGTCTGATTTATCAATCAAACATTTTTCGAAATTCGTAACGCCAAAATGGACCGTATGGCCTACATCTCACAGCACGAAGCTATAACAGTTTTACAATCTTCACTTAACTTACCAGTAATTATTTTTATAAATATTTATAACATAAATTAAAAACAACTTTAATAATATTGATGATAATTATTTACACTTTATTTTAAAATATTTATTATAATCTTTTAGATACTTTCATTTTCCGGACATTATAATATTTACAAAATATTCAATGTATATATTTTCAAAATATTTAAATCTTTTTTATAAATATTTTATAAATATTTTATAAATATTTTGTGCTCTGGGAGTTTAGCGCGCTCGACTGTTCTTTTTCTGACAGGCAGATGCTGGCACGCTTTTTTCGCATTTCTGTCACTCGGATCTATACGGCAAAAACAACAATTTAAGCGACATTGTACACTTGTGAAATTTTGCTGCAAATATGTTTCAAGAGTCTAGCACACTCGACTGCTCTTTTTCTCACGGGCAGATGCTTGCACGTTTTTTTCACGTTTCTGCCGGTCGGATCTGTACGGCAAAAACAACAATTTAAGTGACATACACTTGTGAAATTTTGCTGCAAATATGTTTCAAGCGTTTAGCACACTCGACTGCTCTTTTTCTCACGGGCAGATGCTTGCACGTTCTTTTCACGTTTCTGCCGGTTGGATCTGTACTCAAAAGATAATTTCACAGTAGCTTCTTACAGCAGACTACTGCAATAGTACAGTAAGTACTCGTTCAATCACAGATATTATGCACTTTTGTCGCAATTCTGGACTGATTTCTTGAGCACTTCTTCGGGACGCATCTGAACTAGCAAACTGGTTACCAGGGTCGCGTTCACGACCGCGCGTTACCCGGTGCGTCGTAATTTGCTCGGTCGGGCCTTAGATTCCGCACGAGATATGAAGTGCGTCAGAATATAATTTGCGTTGGTTTAATTGCGTGAGGTGAGGTTTGAGTGAGGACGCGTAGATTCTCCGCGGTACCGATTGTGCCAGGAGATTACTCGCGTTGGTGTGATTGCGTTCCGATGTTAATGGCGTTACAATATCCCTCGCGTCAGAAGGTTCCTTGCGTGCAAGCATTTGCGTTGAAATAGTGTTCGTGCCGATCGAATCCTTGCGTTGGGATGTCGATTGTGTTGTTAATTTCGGTAGGAAATCGTTTGCGTTAACTGATCAAATAGGTTAGGCTCTTACTCGCGTTAGGATATTCTCTGCGTTTAGGCGCTTCGTGCGTTTAGATATTATTTGCTTTGATTCCGATGGCGTTTCATTATTACTCGCGATAACCCCGTATTTTGCGTTAGTTATAGTATTCTTTATCTTGTCGAATGCCTCGGCGCCTCCTTGTTGCGCCCGGTCAGAGTTGATTGCGGAAATTTCGATAACTTGGCGACGGAATTCCCGTACGGTCTGGATACGGTGTTCACGCGCTTCGAGCGTGACGCACCATTATTTCGCGATATTTCACATTAAATATCACTTCATAGCGACTCTAAAATTTTGCGTTACTCCGATTATTTCAAGTTCGGTCGTCTCTTTGGCCGATATTCCATACTATTGGCGAGCTGAGTTTTCTATTGTTATTATTCGTTGTTCGAGAAAAGCGCCTTCCGCGCGTTTATATTAAATAAAAGTGAGACTCCGTAATTTCTAGCGTCCTTTCTAGCGTTGCTACCATTTCTGTTCATTAAATTCGGACGCCCGTGTCAGCTACTATTTACTTGATTTTTTTTTTGTGTTTAACTAAAGCCGAATGGGCATTCATTATTATTTTCTTGAGAGTTACTGCACAATAAATATTACTCTTGATTGTTAGCGGATTGCGTTACTGATTTACGTGTCACCCCGCCGGATATCGCGCCGCCCTTCATCAACCCCGCCCCGCTATTAGGTCGAGCTAGCCGATTCCTCGCACATCCACACATTTCGTCTTGCGTCTCGTTTTGGTTTTTCGCAATTTTGCGGACGCGGATTCACGCGTCTGGCGCCCAACATTAGAATCGTTTTGTGGAGTGCCGGAGGTGCGAGAGAATCACCGAAGAGGCCTATCATCCCGCTCTCCTTTATCCTTTTAATCCGTCACACGCCCCGGACCGCTGCGGGAGTGAAAAAATTGTGACAACACACATATCAGCAAATTACTTCTCTTAGAATTGACGCAAACTGTTAATTATATTTCTCAGTTACATTTATTAATTTTTTTTTTTTTTTTAATAAACAACGAGCGACGGCTAAAACCTTTTGAATGTTGTTCAGGGTCATAATCTTGACAACATATGTCAAGGTCAAGGCCACTGAAGCTGCCTCTTCTAAATAGGAGTTCGACCTTTATTTTTTACGAGTAAATTTTACACACAATAAAATAATTTAGTTGTTGCAGCAAAGTTTATCGCAACAATCTATTGCTATCTATTGTATATTTGATGTGAAAACAAACAAATTTTACTATAATAACTGTTTGATATTACAATAAAATTTGTTTTGCTAGCAAAATAGAAAAATTTTGATGCTTAAATTTGTTTACAGAAACATGTTAATTTGCTGTTAAAACAAACAGTCAAGCAAATGTATTTTACTGTTGCAACAGAATTAACAAAATTAGAGAGAATAGAAAGAAAAAAAAATAAAATTAGTTTGTTACTAGAATAAAGTTATTTCAGTAAAAAAAATTAATTTTTTAAATTAATCTTTCTGCTATCAATATAATAACTATTAACGAAAAGTGCTGCAACAGTTAAACTATATATATATATTAGTAAATTTTTTTCTCCGCGTATGATTATGTTAACTAAATTATATTAATTAACTGCATTTTAATCAGATTGATATCAATCAATCCTCACCACAGTATGTCATACATTCCACAAATATGCTCCACCAGGAAAACGTACAAAGTATCGGTAGCTATCACGACCGAAACACACAAAATGTAATCGAGATATAAGATCAGCAAAAGCGTGTAATAATGCTTTTCCTGATCGAGAACGATAAAATCCGCAAGCTGTGGCAATTTTCTCGGTCTTGTTTCATTCAGGGGTGAGATTATGTCCAATATAGGTCCAGCAAGAGGTAGCGAAGCGAAGCAGAATATAAATCCGCATATGCAAACTAAATAGAAAAAGAGGAATAAATTACATTCCTTTTCTTTTCTTTCTAAATAAGAAGATGCACAAAGCAATTAGATAAATAACTATTTCTAGTAACTATAAATTTACTGAAGCTAGCGATTATATATTTGCGATATATTTATCATATATTTATATCCAAGTTTTTCTTTCATTTTTGCATATATAAGATACATATTTTTAAAATATATGTTTCTTTTTATTGTAATTCATCAAGGATATCAAACTATCTGACGATAATCCTTAAGCGACATTTGCCAGTGAATTCGTACTTGAATACGCCAACGTAAGCTTTCGACTCTTTTCAGCATAAAACATTAAAATTTGCGTTTCTTCATCCGACAGTAGATTGTTCCAGTCGTCCTGCATATGTTGTAGAAGCACCTTAAGCTGAAGCAACGCTTATTTAAAATAAGCCGATCAAATGCGACGATCATGCTTACCATTCCGGAATTGCGTGTTATACTGATGATTCTTGTAATACATATCACTGTGCCAGTTAGAAGTGGCATCAGTTCGAACGTGTTATCCAGATCATCCGCTTGCCTGAGTATATATGCAATCTGGTAATTAATAATGAATTTATGGCGCATTGTAATTATATTTCACAAATACTCGGATTTAAGCGTAAACTCGCGGTAGACGATTGCTTCTGTGACACAGAAAGAGCATGACAATTATTTGAATTAGTATATGTTAAACTTTTAGAACTTGATTTATATTTTCGATCTCTTTAGATTCGTTAACTCTAATATCACTGTTATTCAGCGAATTACCTGCGGCACTAACATTGTCGTAAAGCCAAATATAGCGAACGATCGAGTTAAAAGTTTCATAAAAGGTTTTTGATGCGGCCACAGGCCGGTGAAAGATAGAAAGAACTTGTTAATCTTGAAATACCGCGTGTCAAAGAAATCCATGGCTTTGTGTGTATTATACAGAATAGGAATCCGTAAATATATTCGTCTCGCTAGAGCAGTATCTTTCTCACCCGGTCTCTCTCTCTCTCTCTCTCTCTCTCTCTCTCTCTCTCTCTCTCTCT